GTCTGGACCTGGCGAGAGAGCAGGGGGGAGGGGGAGAAGGGGGGAGGGGGGGGAGAGTCCCGAAGTGTACTGCCCGACCTTCTCGACACATACTAGGTCTTCCGCCCGGTAGGGTTTCATGTTTCTCGTCTCCCCTCCTGAAGTAGGCGGTCCCGGGTCCTCCTTCCCAACAAGCTGGGAATGTCCCGAAGGACCGTGTCCCACCCCCCCCCCCCTGGCTCAGGATTACAGTCCCCAAATCAAAGTTGATTAAAGTATAAGGACTCCCCCTACTATAATGGAATCTACAAGTAAATGTCCAATGCAACTCCACATTTCAGAGGTGTTGTTAAATTTTTCCCTCCGAAGGTTCTCAGTCTGGATTGGGTGCTAACATACACGCTTTCTGAACATCCTAACGATGGTACCCTAGGTCATTAGGGTAAAAGAAAAAAAAAAAAAAAATTCATTGTCATTTAGACCAAATAAATTTTTTTATGGGAATGTTTGTATCGGTGTGTTCAATTCCTTTAGCGAGCGCAAAACCATCTAATAAAGAAACAACATTGTCTCGAAGAACCGTTATGTACGAATATACAACCTTTCCGGCACAAATAAATTTACTCACCGGTGTAAACACTCCTTGTACGTACACACTACCCGTCGTCTCGCCCTCATACCACAGGACCCCGCCGGGTACACTCGTAAAGTCGTCGAAAACAAACCGACGACTGAGAAACAAAACCACAACGAACCCCCAACCTACTAACTCTTCAGACTACTTTTCTGTATAAACCGTTAAACTTTTACCGTAAAGGAGTGTTTACACCGTAGTAAACTTTCCCTTTTATTTGTCAGGGAAAAGGTTGCGTACAAAAAACCCCGGTTTCGTTAGATGGTTTGTGTTTGTAAGGAAATAAACAATCACAATACAAATATTCCCTTATGTCCGTGGAAAGAAACATAGGACTAATACATTAGGACAATGTACAAAAGCGTAATAAAGTGAACAATTACTGTAAAGTAAGTGTGCAATACTTCTCTACCTTGAATTGTTTTAGTCCTGAACTACCTACATCTTTTAGTGAGAATACACTGGAGGGTAAGATGGTCGGTTGAGTGTGGGACAGTGAGACTTGGGAAAGAGGAGAGACCACGCGGTTGTAGAGGAAGTGATTCTTGGGGTCTTTCATTAGTGTTCATGGCAGGCCTCCTTCAACTCCTTGACTAGCCCCTCCGACAAGCGTGCAGGCGGGACTCGACGTGAAAATTGGGGAGGTCTGTGAAGTATTGGGAGTGGGCCGTGAAGTGGGACGGACACAGACTACCTACAAAAAAATGTTCTATACTTGGAATACATACAACCATTAAATCGAAGGTCTAGTGTAAAAGTTTTACTTATTTCCCGAGACTTCGCACATCCATGCTACCAAAGACACTGTGGAATGAAGATATTTGACGACGTGGTGCCAGCGTCGTGCTGACCTCACCTTGAATTTGTCCTTTATCACCTGCCGCTCCTTGTCCTTCAGCTGGAGGAAGAAAACAACAGTCAATCAGTCAATCAGTTACAACATTCTGCCAAGACACTGCAAATGTCTCATAGAGAACACTTTGTATAGACAGAGTGTAGATATTTTTAGGACATTAAAAGGATGGTTTGAAGTGGGGTTTTATGGAATACTTGCACATCTCTCCAAGTCTTTGGAAAAGGTGTCGTATCAATTGCTTTCACTGAGGTTCCTTGGATTTCTCCACCTTTTTTAATGGGCTACTTTGGGAGGAGTCTTTCTTTATTTGCTGCAAAATTCTAAGGACAGGGGGGGTCACATACAGTACAATTTGTAAAGCCCCTTTAGGCCTTTTTGTAATTTATGATATTGGGCTAGAATTTGATTATTTATAGACTGGAGATTGCAGTCAGCAGGTCCCAAGTTTGGAGATACCATGGAAACCAAGCGATGTACTGCTTTGGGCTGGAGCAGCAGCAAAACATATTTATATCAACCCAACAAAAACAATCAGTGTAAGTGTATTTGCACTTACTAAAAAAAAACTTACTCTATTGAAAAAACTGTAATCTAACCCAACAGAAGATGGGATTTGCTGGTCTGTTTGTGTAATTGTTTGAGCTGGTAAATCTGAAAAAAGGAAAGAGGCAGCGAAACCTCAGCGTGTTCTAATGTAACATTATTGTCTTTTTCAATGCAGTCTGGTAGCTGTACTGATCACACAGATAACGGGTTTAGCTCCTCACTAGAAACATAGGTAAAGTGGTGAAAATATTCAAAATATAGATAGAAGTAGATATAATAATTGTTGCAGCTAAGACTGTACACAGCAGTACATGCCGTCTTCTCTAGGTAAGTACCTCACACATCCACATTTAAAAAAAATTGTGCTAACCTAATGTGTATATATATATATATGTGTTTATACAGTGAGCACATGTTGGTACTGAGTGCTGTGGTGATGGACCTGTAGGAGGCACACTCTGTTCAACTGGGTACAAATCATAGAGGCATGTTAAAGTCGACACCCCTGTTCCAAAGCTGGTCAGAGAATAAGAGATGATAAAGTTCTGACCTTGGTGCCGGGCTGGAAGACGGGCATGTTCCTGTCCGTCAGGTGCTCCGTGACTTTCAGCCAGCTGAGACAGGGTCACATACAGCAGTCAGAATGAGTGGGTTAAAGATATAAGAAATTATAACTCTATTTAGGGCTGTACCTAATGTTTTTAACCTTAATATTGACTTTCAAATACTACAAATGTGTCCTTTTTTTTGCAGATAAAGTTTTGGCACTAATAGACTATGATTCTATTATTATAAGCCATTCGTAGAAATAGAGGCAAGTGCGTAGGATTTTTTAAACTTGTTTGTGTGATGCAAACATTTCCAATACATCATAATACTGTACATTAAAACTGTAATACAAATCATAAATGTGGTCATTTCTAACATTCACAATACATTTTTATCTTAACAAAAATGCTGCTTCAATTCATTTACGCTGGTGTTTTCTCTTGCTTGCAAAATTAAGAGTTTTATTTTATATATTGTTTAGGGTGGTGGCGTTATAAAATATAACGACTGACCATTGAAGCTTAATTTGAAAACTTAAAAAAAATGTTTGCAGTTAAAAAAAAATACAATGTGGTGCTGCCCCTCTGTATTCCAGATGTTTACCTGCGCTGGTACATCTGGATCTGCTGCTCGATCAGCTCTCTGTACGAACCCTCAGCTTTCTTCTGAGTCACCGTCACCAGCTGGATCAACTCTGACCTGAAGGGATCACACACGACACGTTCAACGTTTACATACAGAAAACAGATCTCTCACTCTGATTATCCTTCCTGTGGTTTGAACAGGATGTTTTAGACCACATAGAATCCATCACCACTTACTGCACGGCTTAGAAGGTTAGCAAACCATGCTGCTGCCTTTTTAAAGAATAGTTGTCATTTCTTTGAGCTTCATGCAGCCGTTGCTTTACATTTATCTCTGCAGCGTATGGGAATCAATGATGAAACTCTTGAAACTTGCTCTTAATTCATCAGTGTGAGCCCGAAGGGTCTGCAGTTAAATAACTCTGACTACATGAATGCAGATGTTCACTGTGATTACACAAGCCTATTTAGGAAGTCTGCTCATAGATCCTCATTACATACAGAGATGAATGGAAGACAATGAAGGCCACGCTGCCATTTATCACTCTTTTAAAGTACCAATTCATTTGCATTAATGATATTTCTAAAGATGGTATCTTCTACTCGTCTGTCATTAGACTTCATCAACACTCACTGTATGTGTAACACCCCTCCTTTATCCTTTACCTCAGTGTTCGAACATCTTAATGAGGAATAGTTGTTGTGCAGCTGGTTTCTAAATGCGCTCATGATCTATTTCGCTACATTCTCATGAATGCCAAAATTAACATAAATATTCAAGATGTGCATATTGAATTAGCGCACAAGGTAAATGAGTAACATCTGATATGATATGATTACAATCAGCAAGTTTCAGATTTTCCTCTAGGTCTGCAACTAGCAAACCTGTTTCTTGTATTAACTGTTTTATTTATCAAAAGTTCCAAAACAGATTAAACTGGTCATCATGTCTTTGACAACAGGACAACAATGTTGTCAAAGCTGGTGTTTTTGCTTAAAATGTACTCCATTATTAACCTATATTAAGATGGTCGCTAATTTAATTTCAGTTTGTTAATGTGGTTGTTTTTTCTTTCCCCTCTACCGTCATGCATTTGAAAATGATTGGCAGAAATATTTAAATTTGAATAAATGTTTAAGGTTTATTTGCTAAACAGTGATGTAGCACATTCAAGATAGTCCTGAAGAATTGACGTTACTGTACACTGAATTATTAATATCTCCGTCTCCATTTTGTATTTGATGTCTTTATAATGGAACCAGTTCATCAGAATGGCGATTGCAGTTCATCTACACCAGGGGTGCACAAAACGTTGGTCGCAAAGGTAGCGTGGGTAGATGCATGGCTATACTATGGCATTTGCCACTTGATTGACGTACAGGTAAGCCAGTCTGAGATCTCATCTTTTCTAACACGCAGTTCACCACGCATGTGCGGTCAACCGCGCCAGCTGCAAATCACCTAGTTAGCCTTCCAATTTATACAATTCTACTAAAGAAAGGGTATGAAATTGACGTAATGACCAAAAATGTACTGAGTTGTATTGTACCATACGGGTTCATGCAGTTATGTAAGGTACACCAACTTCAGGTATACTCAGTATATAGATACATAAATATATGTTTAGCATTTTTAATGTAGGTAGATCATTTTGACATGGTCATTTTAAAAGTAGCTCCCAAGCTGAAAAGTATGGGCACCCCTGATCTACACAGATATATATATATATATATAAAATAAAAAGACGAAAGCATACTTCTCCAGAGACTTGAGGGTGTAGTTGTAGTTGTTGTGCAGGAAGATGGCGCTCAGAGCCGAGTCCTCGTACACTTTGGATTTACTGAGCAGGTTCAGCTGCAGGTTCCCCAGTACCTTACCTGAGGAGGAAGACTCGCATCACTTTCCAAAACTAAAGCTGGAGATTTCACAACAGAGAGGGGGGGGTGTTCTGTACTCACAGATATAAGTGCTGAGGAGCCTCTTGTTGAACTCCGAGGTGTAGCTGTTGGCTGAAGAGCTCGTCTCTGGAGATAAATACAGACGCTGTTAGCATCTGCTTCAGATAAACTTAATGACCCACAATTGACTACTTAATTGGATCTATTAGTACGTATTTCATGTTCTATTTAGATCAGGACTGGGGAGAAAATCTCCACTCAAACTAAAAGTATTCACAACAGTCAAAGCACTCATGTTCCCATGGTAGCATCTACACGTCTTTCAGCACATGCACATCAGATGAGGGGCTAATATGGAAGAATTATCTGCAATTATGGTAAAATAGCATCAAAATAAGACACTGTAACTCCTCACCGGGGGCCTACACGTGGCCTTTTGCTTACCTCTGGGGTCTAAAGGTATATTGTAAGTGTCCCCCAGTACTATTAGGGCCGAGGCAGAAGAGAGAAGAGAAAGAGCCACAAGTGCAAAAAGGTTAGAAGAGATTTGTTAGTGCAGAGTAAGTCATCAGCCATGCATTGAGGGTGGAGGGTCCGAAAAGAAGGCAAAGCAAAGCTGAAAACAACCGGAGGGAGCCACAGAGCATCACAGAGGGGTTAGGGCTGCACAATTTAACAGAACTAAACATCAAAAATCGAAGTAAGCGCAGTATTTGGTAAAGGCAAAATAAGCGATAAAGATAATTCTGAGTTAACCCCGGCCTACAAACGGTGCAGACTTAAAGGGGCCCTATTCTGCTCATTTTCAGGTTCATATGTGTACTCTGTGTCTCTGCTGGGACATGTCTCCATGCTTTAATGTTCAAAAAGCTCTTTCTCATACTTTTCACCCTCTGTCTGAAACCAGAGCCCAGTCTGCTCTGATTGGTTAGCTGGCCGGCTCTGTTGCGATTGGTCAACTGCTTAGAGATGTGACTGAAATGTTCCAACCCTTAGCCTATAATATACAATGTGTTGGAGCGCTAGCCAATAGAAGTAGTGCGTGTTACATAGTGATGGAAGTAAACAAAGGATTCCAATGGAGGCGCTTCAGGCAGAAACCCAAAAAGCATAATAGGCCCCCACACGGGGATCATTTACATTGTTCAACTGTTATGTGATTAATGTTTAAAAACTGTACTCTCAAATTGTATCTCAATGCATTTCTAGTCAAATTATAGATTTTTTTTTTAAATCATGCAGCCCTAACACTTATTATAACCCTACAACAACAAATCAATAAAGTACTTCTTATCTTTACATTAGAGATGATTAACTGTAACAAATGAATACATCTTTAAAGAGATTATCACTGGGACTGGTGCAGTGAGTGTAATCACGAGCTCCCTTCGGGAAAAGAGCAACGTTTTGGAGCTGCAGAAGGAGAGTTTAAAGGAGGTGAGGGTGAGGGTCGTAACAGACACAGACAGCCATGGTGCGAACACAGAGGAGATAACAAGGGTCAGTCTTTCACCCTCACACATCAGGACTAGGGTCTCAGATACACTGCAGTCTCAGTGACAGTAACAAGTGTTCCTGTTCCCACTCTGTACTAACATTTGAATGAGGTTAAAGCAGATTTTTCTTTGGCTGCTTGGGAGAAGCTAAATGTGCTGTAAACACAACATTGACATAAATCTCAGAATATATGAATTACAACCTGTTTAATAGAGCTGCAACAATTAGGTGATTCATAAAAAAAACATTGTCTATTACAGATGTAGCACTTCATTTTGGACGCCCCTACCCATGTGGGCCCGTGATCTGCACGGGGTGGGCCCTCGCTGAAAGGAAAACCCCCCGCATGACTTGATACGCCCCCATGATAAATAAATGTAATTATAATGAAACCAGCTGCAATGGATCATTGATCCCCCAGGGGGAGCAGTGATTAAAAAGATGCCACACTGGAACTCATGTGAAATAAACAGCTGATAGATCTACAGGTATCTGATATAGCGGGTCTTTGTTAAGATCCATATGTCACGGATAGGATCATATTCTGTGCTAAATAAGAGACATGTAATCATTTACAAAACATCACCATGTTTTTATTTAACAAAATAATGTTGTTTAATCCACGTCAGCGTAATACAACTACAAAAACCATCGGTTTGTTTTTTCATCAGGAAATGCAGCCCGGCTCAAACAAACGATTTCTAATCATCATCCTCACGATCTTTTAATGTATCATGTTCGCCGAATTGACATGAAAGCACTAACAATCATGAATTTGCTGTAGTCACCTTCAATAACATTTTTGAACCTGCCTAAACACAGTAATTCACTAAAAATAGGTTTATTTCTAATGGAGCCTCGTCATCGTGTATTTTGAAAAAACTCATTTCAGCCTCCCAAATATGAGTATTTCCTGCTTTTCTCTATATTAAAATCATAGTTAAGTGAATATCTTTACATTTTGAATGGACAAAATACAATTATAAAGACAATACCTTGGACTTTGAAGAACTAGGATGGATATTTTTCTCTATTTTTAGCCACTTTATATACCAAACAACTATTTTGTTTTCAATGTTCTATATTACTTGACAATCTGTTTCCAATATGATTTTTACAATTGTCTATTATTATACTCCTGCCTTTCAAAGTATTTTATTTTATAGTGTATTTGTTTTTTATACTTTTGCTGCTGGACTATTTTAATGTCTTTCACTTATAATTTTTATGAAAATGACGATAATTAACTTGACCTTTATTATCTAAAATCGTATGAACGCCCGCTTTGATAACCTTTCACCTTCATCCTTCCAATAAACCACTCTTATAATCTAACCCTCAGAGTGAAGGACTCGGAGCTGGAAGAACTTGAGAGACTGTTATAGTTGTCATGGTGACTGACCCATGACTTAAAGTCCTTTTCTTCTCAGCCCTCCTGATTATTTGTAAACGGTGTGACCTATAGTCTGACCAAACCAGACATCTGAAGCGTAATGCAGAGCTGACAAACTGGGATGAATGTTATCCAACATGTTGACATATTATAGATTTATCCGACAATTCTTTTTTTCCATGAATGGCTTAATTGATAAAGAATATTGATATTATTTTGGTTTGACAAAACAATGTGGACTCTGACAAACTATTTTTTTTATTTTATTGACTAATTAGACAACTATTTTTTCAATGAATGGTTAATTGATGAAGAAATAATCAATGATAGTTGCATCCTAACTTCTTTACTAGGAAATTATGGGAAAATCATGAGACCAGAGAAATAAAGTGTCGATAAAGTCATGCTGATTTTTAAAAAGCGCTTATTTGTTTAGGAACATACTTAAATAAATCGAAGGAAACAGGATTTTGAACCTATTGTATACATTCCAACTGAATGTGTTGAAGAACAGGGCCGAATCCTGTACTGTCCAGACACTCTGACAGGATACTAAGTGCTATTACGTTGAGGTTATTTCAGTCTCGCAATAAATAGCTTAGTTTAAATCACAGACATGCACCACTGGTGTTAGCACTGAAGCAAACAGCCTCTCAGCAGGGTAGCAGGGGGGTGCAAGGTAACGAAGGCTAACGCTGCTGTGGGGGGTCTGTACCTTGTGAGGCCAGCATGGCTCCGGCTGTCTCGTGGAAGTCCAGCAGCTGCTGCAGGAAGAGGATAGCCTGCAGGACAGAGGGCAGGGTGAGAGGGGCCCCCGCTTATTCATTACACTGAGGGCTGTTTGCCGTTTCCATGGAGACCACCCGGATCCACGGAGACGGACAAAACAAGCCTCATGGAAAGGTGTTGAGTTTGAAGTGCAGAGAGAGCAAATAAATCCTGCCGTGTTACGCAACAGGAGTGAGTGAGAGTGAGCTTACATTGCTGGTCAGCTCGTGCACGGTTCCATCCTTGGGCATGTTGTACTCTTTATCCGGATCATTCTGAGGGTAAAAAGAGAGCATTTACTGAATGAGTCATTGTTGACAGAGAATGGTGAAAAGTGACGAAGTAATACATCAACTCAAGTAATGTACTTAAAGAGGCCATATTAGGCTTTTCGGAGTGTTCCCTTGTGTTATTATGTTTTTGTGCATGTAAATGGTCTGCAAAGGGGGAAATCCCCCAACCTGCCTGAAGCGCCTCCATTGGACTTGTTTGTTTACTTCCTTCAAATAGTGACATCACTATGTAACATACACAAATGTAATTATGACGCACTATTATAGATTAAGGTACAAGGTGGAGATACGTTTAACTCATGTCCATCTTTACCTGATGCAGAATTGAAATGGTTTACCATGAATGGATATTCAATTGGAAACCAGTGGTATAATATGTGACCTGCTCTATCGAAATCAGTCGCATTGACCCGAAGACACATTTTGAGTTGTATACACTGCTGGAAAGAGGAGATTCCTAGCTTTCTAATGATATCAGGATTGTTTTTGTAGGCTACTCCAAATATTAAGCGAAATATGTCACATTATATAATGACTGTCACCGAGTCATCATTTTGAGAAAAAGGCCTTCAAAGTTTCCTCTTCTCTGGAATCCATCCATCTGATTGATTATTAGCGGAGCAAATGATCAAAATACTACGGAGGAAACATATTTTCGTTTGGATCACTGGTCTGGGGGAAGCTTGCGAGTGTGTGTGTGTGTATACGTGTGTGTGTGTATGTATACACGTGTGTGTTTGTGTAATTTTGCATTTGTGTGTATTGTGTTTGTTTCCCGGGGAAAACCCTCACGAGAAACACCGGCTGTTGTTCTAATATTCTGAAAGCCAAGACTTTGTTTATTTGAAATCAGATGAAAACAAACTGTAACGGACCCTGCCGTGTTATCTATGATACTATATGTCTTACATTCATCATTTCAGCGGAGGGAGGGGGAGCAGCGCTGCGGAACAACAGAGTGGCGAGTCAGAGCTGTCATCTTCCCTTTACAAGCTTCAAAAATGTATTTATCGTGTGATTTTGGAAATAAAAGTTCATATTCTGAAAGCGAAAACTTTGTTTGTTTAAAATCAAACAAAACACCCGAACCCCGAAAAAATAGTTTTTTACGCAAATCCACGTTTATTTTGAAATGAGCCGTTGCGACTTCCGACTGATTTCGATAGAGCGGGTCACATATATACTATTCCTAAAGGGGCCATTCTATATAATGAGTGACTTTGACTTTTGGTACTTTGAGTATATTGTATTGCAAATTAATTTGTACCTAAGTAACATTTTGAATGCCAGATTTGTGCTTGACGTAATAGAACATTTCTACAATGTGGTAGTATTCCTTTTACTTAAGTACTGGATCTGGGTACTGGGTGACAGATGTTAAAAAATGAGCGTCTTGCCTTGATGCTGTCTGCGAACTCCTCCAGAGCTTTGGCTCCGATGGTTTCCATGGAGGTGATGAGAGTGGGCAGCTTGTTCTTGGTACTTGCTGCTGTTCCCTGCACACACAGTTACATTCATTTGAATTAAATCCACATATCCAGCATCTTTACTTATCATGCTGTGCAAATAATGAGACTCAAGTGATGAAGACCTGCAGCGTGGAGTCAAACTCAGCCTTGTTCATCTTCAGGTGTCTGAGGATGGGGAAGATGGTGAGCACGGCTGAGTAGTCGTGGCGCATGATGGCTCTGCGAGCTGCAGACACGATGTTGTCTCCCTCCAGCATCAGGTTGTCCAGTGCCTCCTGAGGACAGCAGAAGGAAAAAGGAAGCGGGTTGTTTATAGTAAAACTGATGAGCTTCAGACGTAAATTATATTAACGTGAAAACAGGTACAGATCACAGTTTAATTATTATAAAAAGCTTCTGTTTCAAATCAAACATCAGGCAATTTAATGTGGCTGAGCCCAGTTTATTCACTTAACATCTCAACAACATGTTAATACTCATTAACATCGTCGTAAGCATCTCCTAAAGCAGTCAATCAGAGGGTTCCACATAGAGACAAGCAGTCCTTTCATACTTACATTCCTTCTTTATGTATTTTTCAATATACTAACCCCCAACAAAACAGGGCTTTTGGCCATTATCTAAAAATGTTAACTCACAAACATTGCTTTTGATGACGATGTCAATGGCTCTGGCTTTTGGAAGCAAAATAAGCTCTCACACTTGGTTGTGACCCCTTTAGAGCTCACTAAAAACCTGCTGTTTTATTGATATCTTATGATGCTTCAATATTATTATTATGATCCATATTGTTTTCCCGTTGCGCCAAAGGTTTTCAAAGTTTGAGAAGGAGACCCTCAGGGGGGCTGCAAACTGTTTACAGTGCAGGCATAGTGAATGGAAGTAAAAAGATATGACATAATTAATGACAAGAGGATCACACAATGGCCTTAATGTGTGTGATTTGGTCAAGGGGATTGATCAGAGATAAAGTAGTATTAGAGAATTTAAACGTTTCCCCCCTTTCCAGAGTGAGATTTTTAGAAATGCCTTAGGTTTACATTGTTATGTTATTGGTGTAGTGTTACATTACGTCAAGCAGCAATATTAACCTATCTTTGTTTACTTGTTAAGAGTCTAGGTCCTAGACTCTAGGAGATAAAATGATATGGTCAGGATCCCATAGAAATCCAGGAATTGAGTAAAAGGCCTGAAAGTCATTTTAAATAATTGAAATACTACTTTAAATAAGTCACACTTAGAGGGAATAATTAGAAGGACTATTTAACAGTTAGAAATCCTGAGTATAAGCCTCAAACGTTTTAGTATATGACCTATACCTTAGATTTGAATAAATGAACGAGTGTCTCTGACCTGAATGAGAGAGTCGAAGGTCTTCTTCTGGTGGTGCTCGGGGATGATTTCTGCCAGCAGGGCGTACTCGCTCTGGGCCAGCTTGACGAAGGCACTGATGCAGTGGATGTAGGAGTCGATCTCTATGTCCAGAACATCGTCTTTTCCTGAGAGGTACACAACCAAAGGTCCAGTAAACAAAAGATTTTTCTACAATACATGGTCTGTGGTGTTCTGGATGGTCATGAAAAGACAGTTACTGAGTTTGTGTTTGACCTGCAGGCTGTGACTCTACTTGTTTGGTCAAAGAAAATAAGATGTTTTATTAAAGCTGCAGTCGGTGATACATTTATATATCAACTATGGAAGCCTATTTATGCCAGTAAAAGACAAAAAAAAGTATTGTAGAAAAAAAAACAGATCCTGTATTTTATTATGATGAACTTTGTCAAATTGATTACTAAGTTACTTGAAAATATGACTTTCTAAGTTTCTCAAAATTATGACACATGTTCTTACAATAATTGACCTAATATTAAATGCTAATGACATAAACATTTAAATTACAACTGAGTATTTTTGAAATAATGACGAAGTATCTCAAAAAAATAATTAACATTTTGTAGTAATCACCAAGTATCTGAAATTAATGACTTAGTATCTGTAGATAATGACTTAGTATTTAAAATAATGACTTAACATGTAGTAGTCATGACTAAGTATCTCAAATTAATGACATAGTATCTGTAAATAATGGCTTAAAATCTCAAAATAATGACTTATCTCAAAATGACTTGGTTTGACAAAATAATTATAGTATAGTATTGCAAAAATATTATTATTTAATAATAATGTATTTTATAATACATCTTAGATGCTAAACCTTATTAGAAAAAGTCTTCTCATTATGATGACATACAGGATCCTCTCTTTTTCATCACATTGGCGGAAATGGGCTTCCATACATCAGTTGTTTTGTTGGATGTGTTCCTTCTCTTTCCCACTGTTCCCCTCACTCACCTGCGGCGGCCCCGTGCTTCTCGGTCACGGCGTCAGAGAGGTGTTTGACCCGAGAGTCATGATCGTAACCTGGTGGGTGGGGTGGGGGGGCAGCAGGGACACAGACCGAGTCAAACCTCAGAGGTCGTGACTAGGCCCATAGTGAAGGGGGGGGGGGCAAACCTGAACCTGGAACATCTGTACCGACCACCACCAAGCACCCAGCAGGGGGGAGGGAAGCAGGGGACACCCTTTGAAGTCAAGTGTTGGGATGTGTGTGTGTGTGTGTGTGTGTGTGTGTGTGTGTGTGTGTGTGTGTGTGTGTGTGTGTGTGTGTGTGTGTGTGTGTCTCATTAAGTCAGTGTGTGTTTCAGCTACATGAGAGCAACCAGCTTCAAGAGAAATGTCACAACAGCTTTTGATCCCTGCAGCTCTATGAGTTCTTTTTCATCCTTTCTCATTTTGAAACTGTTAAATGTCATAATAAGAAATAAAGCATTTTTTTATTTTGGGGTACCAAAATAATACTATTTGGCCAATTTCCTATAAACCAGGCTTGCCAGTTTTGTGCATTTCCCAGAATGCCATTCCCCAACCCCAGTTGGATATGTATATGTAGCAGAGGACACAACACAAACAAAAGGCCCAAGAGCTCTCTACAGCGCCTCTAGTGGTTCAAAACTCCACAGGTTGCCTTTAATATGACTTGAATAGTTCAATTGAAAAATGTTATACTTTATTGTCTCCTATGAAAAAAAAAAACTTGGTTTCAAGTAAATTAGTATATATTTAATTTTATGAATATAGTCCGCTAGTTCATTTTTTTTCCAATTGTTTCCCCCTTTTTGTGAGGTTATATTGTCATGTTGTATTGCTGTGGTCATGTGTATTATTTGTTTCTGTAATAAATAAAAAATCAGCAAAATATAACTGCCAGTTTTGACAATAATGCAATACCTTGTCATTTCTAAATACAAAATTGGAAGATCTGCCACTTATGTGATTTTCTTCTTTTTTTTTAAGTATTAAGGAACTCAATGTTTTCTAATGCACATTTAATGCAATTTCAATATTTTACGGTAATTCTTAATTTGTTCAAAAACAATTCACACCTACTGTTAAGATCAAAGACATGTTGCAGTTGTGCTGTATGTTGCTGTGATGTCTACATTCAGCTAATAATCCAAAGAAATTAGTCAAATACAAAACAGATTCAGAAATGATAGCTTTGCTAGTTATATATTATTGCTCATATCATTTTTAACAGTGAAAAGGGTTTTAGGGTGGATTTCAATGCTTTAAAACATTACATGTTTGGCTTCACACATTGATAGGAGACAAATACAACCATATTTAGCTTCCTTTTTTGAGGATTTATCAGATATTTTTATGCTTTTATGTAACATCTGCCTGATCTTAAAGCTGTTGTGACGGTTCTGAGAAGATGTATGTGTGCCTGTTGCTCTGAATGAGAAACATGGAGGCACAACATAACCAGTACACTGTGAGTGAAGAGGGAAAGAAGACACCGAAGAGAAGACAGAGGTGCGTTACCTTCCAAAGGAGTGAGGTTAGAGCCCCCCTTTTTCCCATCCAGCCCATGCTGTGAGTACTGTTTCAGAAGGTTCTGAGCCTTGCGAATGGTCCCTGGTCCCATAAACACAGAGACAGAGTCCAGAGGAGGAGGGGGGGGGGCAGCGAGGTCCAGACAGCCAAGAGGAAACAGAAGAAGGAAGAAGAAGAAGAAAAACGGAGAGCTAGGAAGTGAGTGATGAAACACAGAAACCACCACCGAGACAGGCAGCAGAGGTTTGTATGTGGAGGGGGGGGGGCACAGCCTAGCACCACAGCTACACAACAGGATGACCAGGTGAGACAACTACAGATAGGTCATGAAAACACAGCTGGACACATGTGCTGCACACACAGTGCCCAAGGTCATGTAAGAGCAGAATACACAGGTTAGGTCAGGAGTACACAGCCATCACAATTAATATAATTAACAATCATATACAGGATTAATATTACCATCACATTCTAGTTTAGACAGGCACAATCTACAGAACATTAATATTCTCAGGATTAAACAACAATATATTAGTTTGGTTAGTGAGATTGTTAGCGTGTTGCACACTGAAAGCTGCATTCATTTATTTGAAAAGATTGGCTTTGTGGGAAGAAGAAATTTGCAAAAAGCTGAAAACTGGCTTATTTCCGCTGATGTAATGGCTAGCGTTTAAGCAAACTGTTGTCCACATACAGTGGGGAAAATAAATATTTAGTCAGCCACCAATTGTGCAAGTTCTCCCACTTAAAAAGATGAGAGGCCTCTAATTTTCATCCTAGGTATACCTCAACTATGAGAGACAAAATGAGAAAAAACAATCCAGCAAATCCCATTGTCTGATTTTTAAAGAATTTATTTGCAAATTATGGTGGAAAATAAGTATTTGGTCACCTACAAACAAACAAGATTTCTGGCTCTCACAGACCTGTAACTTCTTCTTTAAGAGCCTCCTCTGTCCTCCACTTGTTAACTGTATTAATGGCACCTGTTTGAACTCGTTGTCAGTATAAAAGACACCTGTCCACAACCTCAAACAGTCACAATCCAAACTCCACTATGGCCAAGACCAAAGAGCNCGCGTCTGTCCTAGCTATGCCATGGCAGCCATCGCATCACGGAGAGGGCCTGTCACCACGCTGGCCGGCGTGTGGGACGCCGTCGAAGGAGAGCTGTCAGCGTCGTCCACTCTCTGCGCTCGGGAAGAGTCAGCGCTCTCATGCGGGCTGAGTTCAATTCCACACCCAGCGTAAACAATACTCTGGGGGATAAGAGAGCGCAGGAGTGGGCGCTTCTCCTCTCTCTTGTCTGCGGCTTTGAAACAGTTATCATTGAAAACCCGAGGTTTATGAGGCGAGTCGCGTCGCGCCTCTTGAGCGGTTGTACCGTCTGTAAAGCCACTCCCTCCCTGGAGCAGCCATCCATGCGGCAGGCTGAACGTCCAATGTTATAACAGAATCCGCTACTCTGCCATCCCTGACTCGCCTTCTGTTCCGCCTGTAGCGGCTGCGAATGCCAGATCATCTGTACTGCACTTTCTCGAAAAGGCTGCCGAGAAGCAGCAGGAATAAACCGAACGGCAGACGGTCTGTACTGGGCACGATATCCCTGGAATGGAAAACCGGCCAGGAATTTCCTGTGTTTGTGGGAATGAATGGGCTACGTGGAAAGTATGCATCCTTAGGTTCTATTAGGCAGATGGTGGAACCAAGGCTCTCTCTCTCTGATAACAAAGATGCAAATCTGAGCAGCGCGTTTGCTCAGGGACAAATGGTAAATCCTTTTGTTGACCGTTGCATGATGAAAACTGCGGGTACTCTCGCGCGCTCCTGTAGGTCATTATTGCTCTCTCTCCTCGCTTTGCATAGGTAGGGCACGAACAAGGCGCTCTCGGCAGCGGATGGTACAGCTGAGATCTTATTTCTCCTCTCTCGCCTCATCTGTTTTCTCTGCATTGGTATTGCATAAGAGATAAGTATAGCGCGGAGTAATTATCCCTGATTTTTCTTCCTCCTCTCCTCGGTAGAGAAGCCGCTTGTGGCAACAGCCTTCTTCTTAGCACACAGGATATGTATTGCTCCCGCTAGCTCTGACTCTCGGAGACGCCGTTTGCTTATCAAACAAGTAGCCCCCGACTATCTGTCACCTCCCGCGAGGTAGCGCGCATGACATGTTGTGGAATGTCTATGCGCCCGCCGCGCTTCGCAGAGTGCGCGCTGCAATAGGTGGTGGACCGCGGGGGTGGCGGGGACCAAGCCGGCGACTCTCGGACAGAGGCGTGTAGGTGTTCGCCTCTGTCGCCTCCTGCCGCGAATTCCAGTTCGTTGTTCCATTCAAGACTTCGGCGCTGGTCCAGTCTCCGAGAACACTGGTCGAGTGTCTAGAGAGCCGTCAGCCTCAGTCATGTCTCGGGAGATTGGTGTCGCGCCTGGCTCATGATCAGAACAATGATGTGCAGAGGCCGGCCTTTCGCGGGAGCGCCCTCTCTGCAGGCTCTCCGACGCTCCCCGGCGCCGGCGTGAGGCAACCCGGGTGGAGTAGAGGAGAACTAGCGCGTGATGGAATGTAGGGCCCTCCACAACGTCTCTGCGTTTCATAACTCCGACTTCTCTATTCTTGTGAGGCCGCAGTACACGCTCATTGATGGTATGTCAATGCGGCCGTGTCGACGCCCCTTCTGACTCGTGCCCAAGGTCTTCTTTGTTATCCACATGATTGTGTACCCTATGTAACCCAGCCGCCGGCAGAACAAGCTCGCGGCGCGCGGATATGGAGAGAAATTCATTATCTTCGTGGACCGGTGTGTTAGGTGGCCAGATCTCGGACAGAGCGAATGCCCGCGCAGCGTCTTGTGGTTTAATAAACCGAAAAGTTATAATCCATCATGGCCGCCCGCGCCTCACCTCTGTCTCTCTATTTTGCGACACACCGTCGGCGCGTGCCTCACACAGCATTGCGGGACTGTGCTGCCCTCGTGCCGATACGCCTCTCTGTAGACTCTGTGGGCATTGTCTATATACGTCATTTTAGCTTCCTGTATAGATATAGATCAAAGTGTGCAACAGGCATTCTCTCATGGAGAAAAACCGGAACCTCCATGCTTGCGTCTCATTAACCGATAGATGCACCATAGTGAGGCTGGTTGTCATCACAAAGAGATGAATGTGGAAACTATGGCCCTCGTGGTCACCCCTCTCGCGGCCGCCTATGTGCACAACGCGCATCTCTATCTCTTAGAATACTGTAATGATCAACAAATGGAGTTTGGACACTTAAGCATTCTTATCGGCTTTCTCTTCACACTCCCCCCCAAATGACCGTCTTGTATGAAACTATGAAAAAGGATCCGGTCTAAAACTGTCCTCGGAAGGCTCACTAACATACTCGGTGGTAGATCTAGACTCAGTATCGAAACGGGTTAGTCCAGTATTTTTCTTTTTTCTTTTCTTGAACCATCGTGTTGGGGGGACGGAGGCTCGGGTACACAGGCTTGGCCCTGATACTTTTTTAAATGCATCCGATTCAT